CTATATATTTCTTGAGCTATCGTCCCATTAGTGATGTGGTACATAAACTGAAGATTGTCTCAACCCCTATTTTTGAACAAATTAAATGTCATTAGAAAACAATTTCTCTCATATTTAATGTGCCTAATTCCATATATGGGAAAATCACCAGTGAGTTTCCCACCAATATATACAAGCTTAATCAAATTTAATTTGCAATACATGTGAGCCTTATTAATAGATCTTGTTCATATATACTTACCATCATATTTATACTTTCCATTTTCAATCACAATTAAAAAAGCAAGCTCTTTATATTATTTACTCTTTAAATTTATATATCTTTAATAATTACAGTCAGAATTTAAAATAAAAGTTTACAATAATAAATACCCTAATCATGATTCAATTAATCAAAATTAATCACATGAAACAATGACACCAAATTGAACATTAAAATTCATAATGATAGTATATATTAGTCCTAAATATTTTTCCTAGTTTTGGAATATTGGAAGAACACTTGAGAAAATGCTAATTAATAATTAGAGAGTTGGTGAACTTCAATGGTACATGTTCCATATACAATACAAATTAACGTTCTTGAACATCATTTGTAGACGTTCATTCCTTACACATGTTGTGATTTCTCTAACTAATTTGCCTGTCCTGTAATGATTAGGGGTTCCATTTCTTGCCAAAATTTGAGTTTGATTCCCTTGCATCTTTCTCGTGTGCATTCAAACTAGTGTGATTAAGAGACAGCTAATTACCCTTTTGTTTTTCCATATAATGCTTCTGTGTCTTTAATTACCAATGAAAAGAAGAGATAAAGATAAGCACGAACGTATGTATGTCAGAAACCAGAATGCAAGCGTCACTCATTCACCAGCAACATGTGCAAATTGACAAAATTATCCTACCTAAATACTCACCTTCTTCATAATATGAAAAATAATTAATATATATTCAGTTTAATATATTTTTTATATTTTTTACTTTAATTATTAAAATATAGTATAAATATATATCAATTTAATTTTTAATTTTAGATTAAAAAATAATAAATTTTTAATAAATATATTATATATTGTATTAAATTAGAATATGTACCCTGTTCATTTTTGTAATTTTAAAATTTTATCTTGTAATTTTCTTTTGAAATTTAACTACCGAAAATGGCCAATCTTAGGCGCTGGAGTAGGACATATATGGCAATTTGACTGTATTTCTTTGTATATATATTGCCACAAAAGCTTTGTAGATTACAGAGTACCGTTTGGTAAGTACATTTAGGGTTAGTATACATGAGTAGAAAAAAGTTCTCTTTTTTTTTTTTTTTTAATTAATAAGGTTTTGTTATCTCATTGCTTTTTCCTCTTTTTAGAGATTAGCAAAAGCATTCAGCAGGAATGGAAGGAACGTGGCCGTCCGGAAACCCCTACTCATCTGCCATGGCTCCGGCCCCTCTTCCGTTGGCTCCGAGTTCATATCAGGTCTGGAAGAAAACCTACTTGAGACATGATTCGGGGGCTGGCAGCAGTACTATGGGTGCAGCTAAGAACTTTGTGCTGCCGGCTGAAGGTGATGATAACAATATATCACCAGCGGCTCGCACTGTTGCTGATGGTGTGGGTGAAAGTTCAGCAGAAAATGGCGGGGTCAAAACCCGGGGCTGGACTCGTAGCTTGGATCCTAATATGGACCCAAGAAAGCTCAGACGGTGAATATATAAAATATAAATCCAGTTAAAATTTCATACTAATTTATGTATGAAGAATTGAGAAGATTAATTTAAACATTTACTTCGTTTTTTGTTTTTTGTTCTCTTTTTATCATAGGATTGTTTCCAACAGGATTTCTGCTCAGAAATCTAGGATGAAGAAGATGCAATATGTTGCTGACATGGAAATGAAGGTGAAAGCATTAGAGGTAATTAATTATAATTCTATGTATATATCTCTCTGGTCTCTCTCAAAATTTCTTAGTTATTATGTCTAATGGCACTAATCATATCTATCATTTTTATTTTTTATTTTTGATATCCTTGATTATATTCGAATGGCACTCATCTATGATGTTAATTAATTTTCTCCAAATTTATTACATTTTATGTGTATACAAAGGCACAAATTGCTGTCATCTCTCCTCAAGTTGCACACTACACAGAGCATTATAAGTTATTGCAAATGGAGCGGAGAAGATTGAATCAAAAAATGGCTGCTTTTGATAATGAAAGATTACTTATAGATGGTAACCTCTCTCTCTCTCTCACTCATTTACGCGGGAAAATGCGCTTATCTTTGACATTTACGTGGAAAAATTCGTGTTTTCAAAATAATTTATACTTAATAAATTCATAGATATACACATAACATTAATCGATCTATATGGTAACTAATCGTGTATCTCTCCTTCTCTTGTTTACATAGGAAAACACGTGTCTTTAAAATAATCTATACATAATAAACTCGTATGTTCACATAACATTAATTGATCTATATATTAATTAATTGTACTTCTATTTGGTAAGGTTAGTAACCGATCTTTAGCATTATTATAAATGAATTTAGATTTGTGTCTTCTATAATACATAAATAGATTAAAGAATGCACCAGGCCTCTTAAACCAATTTGATAAGATACATACACATTTCCTTAATTTGATGACAAAGTTTGAATCCCCCTCCCCAAAGTTGTACTTGTTCAAAACTAAACAAAAGATCAAAGAACCCCAAAAATCAAAGAATTAAATGAAGGTCAAATTGATTATCCTCTATATAGACACACACACTTGTATTTATATAAAAAATAATTAAAACACCAATTTGATCTCTTTATTTTAACAAAAAAATTTTGTCCTTTTATTGAAGAAAACTTCTTTTTAGTTTCAAAAGTTTTTTATTTGACCTCTTTTTAATTCCTTCATTATTTTTTTGTACACATGTACATGTTAAATAATGAACATTTTAAAATAAAGTATTGAAAAGAGATTAAAAAAGCTTTTTTTTTTTTTTAGTTCATCTACTTAAAAAAAAACTCATTTTTAGTCTCTTTACTTTGGAATTTCCATCATTTAATAACGGAAGAACTAAAAAATGGTTGGATAATAAACTTTAGGGACTAAAAAGTTGTTTTCTTAAGTAAAGGAACTAAAAAATTTGTTTTGTTAAAGAATAGAGATTAAAATGGGGTTTAACCAAAAGAAATTAATAGAGAACTTTTCAAATTTGACACTACTTTTTATTTAGCTGAGATTGAAAAGAAGAAGGCTGAAGTGAAGAGGCTGAGGCAGCTGCAGTTCAATCAAGAACAGGAAATGATGCGCAAGTCAAGGTTCATGACTGTTTGGGATCAAGAATTTATCGGGCAGATGATGGATCAAGGTTCAAATCTGTCTGCCTTAGGACAAAGCAATGTGAATTCGAACCAAGGTAACCAAATCAAGCTATATATATATATAATTTTAAAATTTTACTGCTTATTTACATTGATTTGGATTAATACTTTAGTTCTTATTTGTTTAAATGTTATAGATCTTAATAACTTAAGTATAGTTTGTGCAAAAATTTAGTTTGAATAGAGTTTTTTTGCAAGAGCGTGAACTATGAAATCAATCATATAAATTAATAGTTCTACTTTTTTTTAAAAAAATTATAAATATTAATTATCTAATTCAAAAGTTTATGAGCAAAATTTTAGCTTCTAACCCTTCAAAAGTTAAAAATATTATAAGCATTTCCTTGTTGTAATCCAATGGTGATCACTGCTGTCCAAAAAGACAGGGCAACCAGTAAAGTGCATTCTTGATTCCAGGTTCAATACTTTTCAGAACAGATACTAATCTATTAATTTAATCATTCTCTTTGTAAAAAAATAAAAAAATAAAAAAATATATTATAAAATACATTTCAACTTTTACAAAAGGAAAATTTTTTTTAGAAGCTGATCGAATAAAGATATAATTTGATTTATTTATTTTATATATATATATATGTATCTGAAATATATAATTGGAATAAATACTTTTATAACAGTCCAAATTGGAGAAAACACAGCAGAAATGAACAGGATGATGAGGCAGCAGAATTTGATGCCCGTTTGGGAGGCCGGGTCGGGGCAGATGATGGATCTGAATCTTAACCAATCTGAGACGGGTCTGGAACTGGGCTCAAGCCTGAATCAGTTTGGACTGGAGCAGAATACTAGCCCGAACTCAAGCCTGCTGGGCCTGGGAGAAATAGAGAAGCTCCTCAACCAAAACCCTCGCTTTACCGAGTTCAACATAACTTACTGAGACATGCGGTGCCGTTTCAATCCGTCGCAATGAATATTTATCCCTTAGAAAATTTTAATTTCCTTCAAATTGCGTGATGTTGTTTGTCTAATTTGTCCGTATTGAGAATTGTTGTGTTTCTGTTGTCCTGTTGTTATTACAGAACTCTCTTTTTAAATCGGTATTATTAAAGTGCTATTAATTTGGGTTATTATGGTTTTTTTTTTTATTTTTTAAGTATCATATAGTTTAAGTTACACAATATTTACTATTAAATAAAGATAAGCTCTATAATACTATAGGTTATCCCCCTATTTAATAGCTTAGTGTTTTGTTTTATTTTGTTGCATAATGAGAGGTAACCATCGCCCATCTCTTATCATATCCCACTCGTATGTCATACGACTCGAATTTAAAATATCTTATTTTCAACGAAAATAAATAATTACTAAGTTATTTAGATCATTTACAATAATAACTTAATGTTAGTGTAGACATAAAACAAAAAACCTACATTTAAATTATGAAAGAGTGAAAATTCAAGACGTTCTAATATTAAACGTCTAATCTTAATTATAAAATAGTGTGATTTTATCTTGGCCGTATGTATCATACAATTAAAATTAGATGTTTTAATTTTAATTTTTTTAAATTTTTTTAGGATTGCCTTTACTAAAAAAAATTATATTTGTGGTGTGTGGGGCATATTCATTGAAATTTTAGTAATTGTTTTAATTTCTTATTTTAATATAAATATAAAAAATGATATAATTGTTAAGTAACTTGTATAATATTGTAAATTTATAATTATGATATATCAATATATGATTCACTCTTTTTATTTAAAATTTTATACTTTTACTAATGATATTTTATACATTCACTTATTTAATAATATGTTATAAATATAAATTTACTATTTTATGTAATATTATAATTATAATATTTACATTCATAATTAATTCTCTTTTATTGCTTTAGTTGAGATTGCATTAATATGGTTATGAGAAGAATATGAATCAGTGATAAACCCGGATTTGTATAAATGTGAAATCTCAAGCTTGAGCTAATCTCTCTTCTTCTTTTTTTTACTTTTCATTTTTCTTAGGATTTGCAATAATTAATTAGATTTTCAACAAATTCAGTGTAAGGGATTCAAACAGACTTTTAAGAGTTTCAGCTATCACTTTACCTTGGAATACGTAATAGCAAGCAGCTGGAAAACGTATCATTCCTTTAGATAAGTTGGTTTCATGGATCATGATTCTCCTCCCTCGAAAAAAAACTCTCATAAAATTCTCAATCTTTTGTTGTTATATTATTTTGGATAAGAGTACAATAAATACATTTTTTATAATAAAAAATTATTAAAGTGGAATTAATTTTAATAT